CAACTCTTTGGAGCGAGGCTGTGAGCCTGAGCCTCCCCTCTTCAGCCACCCATGTCCTCTTCCTGTGCTCGTGTGGCACCTGGCCTTCCAGCGGGCCTGCGACCACAGCCCGACCCCTCCTGTCACCTGCCCCGGAGAATGAACCTGCCTGTTCTGGGGCAGGGGAGATGCAAGTGGCCTTTTAACCAGCCCTCATTTAAGCTGTCCCTTCACCTCCATTGCCAGAGTGTGCTGCCAATTCCAGAGCCTCTGGCGTTCTCCAAATCCAATTGAGTTGTTTCTGTTCCGCTGGCTTAGAATTCAGGTTTCTGGGCTCTGCTATCCATGTTGCACACTCTTACCTGCATTATAACTTCCAACATCTTTTTACTGTTGTCTCCTTCCATATCTTCCCTGCCTTTGTGGGTGACACCTTTTTTAAAGTCTTTTGCTTTTAAAATTGGAATCTAGTGAATAACTTTAATATGACCTACTGATACTTTATCTTAAGTAAAATACATTATCTTACAGAAATATATCCCCTTTCTTTTGTTTTTAGGTTGGCGCTGTAAACGGTATGGTCACCGAACGGGCGACAAAGAATGCCCTTTCTTTATCAAAGGCAACCAAAAGTTAGAACAGTTCAGAGTAGTAAGTAGAACCCCAGGGTGTCAATTTATGTTTACCAAGATGGTGAATATCCTGAATCAGGCAATAATCGGTGAACTGGAGGCTCACATAAAATATATTTCCAGAAGCCTTTTGGCCAAAGTACCTGGTGTTAACTACATCTCTGTTAAATCATGTTTGTATGAGAGATTAGTTACATTAACAAAAAACTAACTTCTTACTAAAGTGTTATTGCTTATGCCTTGGAAACACTGATTCTTTTTTCTGAAGCAGACATTCTTATCCACTTTTTACTTATGTAAAAAAAAAAAAATCATGTTTCCTAACAAAAAATCAGTGTTCTGGTTTCCTAATCCTTGTCTAGGTATTAGATATCTTTCTGTTATAAACTAGAAGTGAGCATACATGGTATTTCCTTGTTACATGTCAGTAAAATAGGTGTCATTTCCTCACTATTTTAAGAGTCACCTCCCAGGGGTGGTAATTCACCTTTCAGTAACTGTTCCAATATATCAGGTATATTGGGATTATCAGCATATATCAAACTGGGGTCCACATTCTCCAGGGATGTTAAGACATTGAAAATATTGTGCTTTCATTTTAATAATTTGAAGATATTCTGGATAAATCATTGATAGCTGGAATATCCATTTTTATACCTCCTCTCACAGACAATTTGGAGATAAATCTCAAAAATTTAAACGTATTCAATATTTTTTCAAATGCAGAAACCGAAATTCTAAGAATTGATACTAAGGATTTAACAAAACATCAATATACACAAATTTTTATGAATGTAGAAAAATAACTTTCAGAATTATTTATATGGTTAAAAAACAGAAACTAAATAAAAATAGGCAACAACTTCAATGGCCAATATATTAGTACCAACAACATAAATTACTATAACATAGAAATCATATAGCTTTTTATAAGTACCGCGCACTAACTGATTGCGCCACTGGAGCTCCCATATAGCTTAAAAAAAAAAAATCTACATTCTTTATTTAAAGGTGTGTTTTTTTAAAAACAAACAAACATACATGTGGAGCCCAGGCGGGTGGCTCAGTTGGTTGAGCATTGTCCTGTATACCAAAAGGTCAGTGTGATTCCTGGTCAGGGCATATACCCAGGTTGAGGTTTGATCCCTGGTTGGGATGCTTATGCTTTTGTGAGGCAACTGATCGATGTTTCTCTCCCTCTCCCGGTCATATAGCTTTTAAGAATTATGTTTTAGAAGAAAATATAATGTCATAGGATAATGTTCATGACATTTATGTGAAAAAGAGAGTAGAGAGTTTTATATAACATGAATATAATTTTTTGTAAATTATGAATAATGACTGGGAGAACCATACTAAAATGTTAGCAGTGGATATTTCCAGTGGTAAGATAATAGATATTTTTAACTCTATTTTTTAAAATATATTCTTACTGATTTCAGAGAGGAAGGGAGAGGGAGAGATAGAAACATCAATGATGACAGAGAATCTGCCTCCTGCACACCCCGCACTGGGGATCAAGCCCCCAGCCTGGGATTGTGCCCTAACCAAGAATCAAATCTTGACCTCCTGGTTCATAGGTCAACACTCAACCACTGAGTCACGCCAGCCAGGCTTAACTCTATTTTTTTTAATTTGTTTTTTTTTTAAAAAAAGCATTTTTAAAGATAACTCACATACCATGAAATTCACTCTGTGTATTCATGTTTTAAAGTACTTTAAGTGATTTAAATTATACAGATATCACAGGAACACGTTGGCCTTACCGTAACAAAATGGAAACGTTATAGTAAGGTTTTCCAGTATTGAAGGGGGTACAGTAAGTAGCCTGAGGAGTATCCCTCCAGGCTTCTTTTCTGGCACATGGTTTGTGTGCCTATAAATGAATCATCCTTACACACCATTTTCTGACTCACTTGTTTTGCTTAATATCTTTTAATCAAAAGATAATTACTGCAATATTTCTAACCTTGACTAGTATTTATTAATATTTCTATGGTTTATTTCCTTACAAAAAATACTAAAATTATAATCCTGTACTTGTATAATTGGAAAATCTTTTTTATAGCCTCCATAAGTTTAAAGTCATTCTCAGGAAGGATTAGAACATGTAGAATATAAAATTACACCAAACAGGGGAGGGGAACAAACTAATTTCAGTGAAACAGCGATTTAATTTTAATTTAGCTAACAATCTATGAAGTCTAACCCAAGTTTAACTTTCTCTAACCCTCAAGGCACATGAAGATCCCATGTATGACATCATCCGAGAGAATAAGAGACATGAAAAGGATATAAGGTGAGGTTGTCCTGATGATAACAAGACCCTCTTGAAGTTTTAAGTGGTATTACGTTGGAAACAATTATTCCTATTAGAGGAGCAGTGTAACAAATGTGGTGCTTTCATTGCGCAGCACTTGGAGGTCAGGAGGACTCACTGAAAAGGCTGGTGTTCCAGGAATGAGCAGGTCAGCCTGCTCCACTTGGGTTAGCTTAATGCACTGGGCGTGGCCCAGTCCGCTGAAACCATTAATGGTTGATGTTGGGAACCCTCATTCTATTGTATGATTGGTTCTCTTTCATATGATTGTTCTTTAGGGATCTTTAGGGGTCTGCGCTACTGTTAAACATAAAGATAGAATAAAAAAATAGGAGGTTTTTATTTTTTCAAATTTGTGGTCTTCAGTTATAATTGTTGAGGTAAATTACCTAGTATGAACTTGAGCAGTGGAGGGATGATTTAGGAAAGGCTGTATCTGTTAGAAGTTACAATAGGAGGGACTATAGAAACATGCAGAAATTGCCTTTGCTGGTTTGGCTCAGTGGATAGAGTGTCAGGCCTGTGGACTGAAGGGTCCTGGGTTCGATTCCAGTCAAGGGCACATGTCTGGGTTGTGGACTCAATCCCCAGGCAGGGGGCATGCAGGAGGCAGCTGATCAACGATTCTCTCTCATCATTGAACTTTCTATCTCCCCTTTCCCTTCCTCTCTGACATCAATAAAAATATATTTTAAAAAAGAAGAAAAATGAAACATGCAGAAATGTTTAGGATAATGGAAAGGATACAGAACACTTCTACACAGCCCTGTAGAATAGGCATGGATATAGACAGGAATGGAAAACATGAAAAACTAAAAATAAGTACTGTGCATAATGAGGTGATTATCTGTGACTTTTTTTACCCTCCTACTAACCTTGTAACTAAAAAAAAAATTATTTTTAAGCTGTTACGGTTTCTGATTCTTTGACCAGTCTTCTCTGTCTAGGATACAGCAGTTAAAGCAATTGCTGGAGGATTCCACCTCAGATGATGATAGCAGCAGCTCCAGCTCCTCGGAATGTAAGGAGAGACACAAGAAAAGGAAGAAGAAAGAAAAGCATAAGAAAAAGAAGAAAGAAAAGAAAAGGAAGAAGAAACGAAAGCATAAGTCTTCCAAGTCAAGTGAGAGCTCAGACTCGGACTGACAGCCGCTCGGTGGCCTGCGAGTCCGAGGAAGTCGGGGTGGCCGGACTAGAGCCTCTGAGGACACTCCTCAGGCTGCCACCTCCACAGCGAGGCTGCTCAGTTCCCAGGCTTCAGGCTCCACTCTTGTCTGTTGTTGAAGAGAATAAAAGTTCATTATTTATTTTTCAAATGTATTTTTTATTTCTGAATAATACATGCATGTGTTCCAAATTTAAATGGTATATAGGCTTTAATTATGAAAACTTCCTTCCTGTCTTCTCCCCCAGATTCCCCAGTTCCCTTCCCTGATGGCTACCAATGTTACCAGTTTCTTGATAGTTCTTCCAGATTATATATATCAAGCAAATAGAGGGCTTTTTACACAAGTGTCTACACATTCATCTGCACATTGCTTTATCTTAACAGTATGAAACTAATTATTTTAGTTTCAAGTTCATTTGGCATTGCTGTACCAAAAGGTGTGTGTTTATATCACCTGAGATGGTTTGTTGATTGGGAAAAGGGGTTCCATCATATTAAACTTGATTGGATCTTACTGGCCAAACCCTAAGAATTTCCCAGAGTGACTCAGAAAGTTGTTAAGAATATAAGGGAATTACTGTACTGAGTCGGCTACCCACACCCAAAAACATCCCTCACTTCCTTCCTCTTCCTGGTTAAGCACAGCCCAGCTGGGCCTCAGCAAAAGCAGCTCAGCCTGTCGGGTGGGGCCTGCAGCTAAGGCAGAGCTCATCTTGTTCTCTGCTGAGCACAGTGGAGCTAGATCTTGCTCACAGGTTGTGTTCCTCCCTATCAAGCAGGTTCTATTGCTGTTATCAGGGTTCCAGAAACTCTCTATTCATTTCTGGTCTCTT